AGCAAAAAGATGAAGACATAAGCACAAGGGTTTTGAGAAATGAAGTTATTTTGCTGAAAAATTGCAGTTAGACTTTTTGTTGGAATGTACAATATACAGATGATTGATAAAGTCATTCTTATGCAACAGAAGAAAGACTGTGTTTTAATGATGTGTGTATGCCCTGCCCAGCACCCCTGTGCCTGTTTGGATTCTCTCTGGACTGTGCAGACAAGCAGCTCAGTCTTGCGAGCTTCTGGTTTTGTGAGCACACTTCTGCCACAGCACACAAAACTCGCAAATGTTTAACAGTGTCAGCTCATACAGCTCAATCCTGAAATTTATTGTGTTGGGATAGATAAATGACATATCAACATACCCATCTGCGATGCTCCCTTTGTTCTGTAGAAAGGGCTGCAATGCATCTGCATATGCACTGGCTAATTGATGCTTCCTCAATTAAAAGAAGAAAAAGGGGGGCAGGGAGTAGAGCAAGAGGCGGGCTGTGATACACTAGGAATATTACTTAATTTTCCCCAAAGTTGAGAAACTGAAGATGAAGCAGTTAAAGCTGAGAACAGCAATGCAAATTACTGCTTATAACAGCAAAAGAAATGAATGTGCAAAATAACACAAATTAAGTACTTTATCTGGAATCATGTAAACAAATTTTATTTTTTATTAAATTGCCTTTTCAACTCTGAAAACATTTCAAAGCAACCAACAGTCAGCAATACCTGAAATACCAGAGAACGTTTTACACAGGATGCACAGCCTCCTCAGAATTCCCATTTCCCTTAATGAGGTAAGAGGTACAAGATACGTCGTGTATGAACAGATACAGTGAGTAAAAGGAAACGGTTATTTTCTACATTGTGGCAGAGCTTTTCAGCCTCAACAGCCTTTCTGAACTCTAATGAAGTAGATTTCCACTTCTTGGGCAGGTATCATTTCTAGCTGAGAGAAGAGCATGAGAGGCATAGTCAAGAGCTTATGATTAGTTCCAGATTGTGCATTTTTCCTGAAGTCTTTGTTAAAAGTGTCTGGCCACTTCAGCGTATCAGTGAGGAAACTGAGACAGGCCAGAAGTGCAGAGGAAATAAACACTATGGAATCATGGAAAGGGCATGGTTGTAAGAGCAAAGAAATGAAGTGCATTTAAGCACGTGGTAATTAGTTGGATTTTATTTTTTTTTAAGTTTAGTACAGAAATAAAAGTCTTCTGTAGGTAAACAGAGGTCATTCACAACTGCCTATTAAAAAAACCCTACCCTCCCTCAAAAAAACTCCACCTCCCAAGATTTCAACTTTGCTTTCTTCAGTAACTGTCCTTTCTGAGTACGTGATACTAGTAACCTCTCTCCTTAGAGCAATTAGCTTACTTGTAGGGTAATGATAAGAATTGTAAGATAGAAAGACCATTATGAATGACATAGTCCTTTCAAATCTCAATGACTACATGTGACAACAGCTGCATTTCAATTAGGTGAAAAAGGGATAATTAAAAGCAAAAATTCCTGCTAAAACAAACTGATGGTTTATTACCTAAAGTAAAATTCACTAGCTTTTTTTTTCCCCACACACAAAATGTATGTAAACTCTTTTCCTGAATGTTACCTAAAAGAGGAAGAAAATTCCAGTGCAGTATTTAGCTCAGCAGCAGAAGGGGTCGGGCAGAACTCGTGGGAGAGGGTGGCATTAAGGGGATGGAGGGGCAGCAGGGAGTCACCACTGCGCAGCACCCACACCACCGCAACAACCTCCAGCCCCAAGATAAAGCTGGCAGAGACATAGTCCCTACCATATTTACTTTGACAGATGCACTTTCAATTACAGCTGATATTTGGGGCTCTTTTTGATCATGTGGTGCTTGATCTAACATAAATGCTTATAAAAATTATCTCCCGGAAGCGTAAACCATAAGGATAGAGACAGCTGCAAAGATGGCTTTGCACCAGAGATTCAGTGTGCTTCAGCGTTAAAGGTACCGGAAGGGTCAGCATTTGCAGGTGCAGTTTCTCTTGGTTGGTTGTCTCCCAGTAACTTCTGCTTTTTCAGAAGCAATGTATTCCAGATCTCTAGTAGTCGGCTTCCCCTACACCTTAGTTCACTGTACAACACTCCTTTTGTCTTGAAAGTGTTACCTGGTGAAAGAGATCAATGGATGGTGTAGTTCTGCTCCCAGCAAACTACAACCATGAGAGAGAAAAATCCTGAGAAGCAGCGTTAAGACTGGCTTACAGCGCCTTCTAAAGAAACCAACTTACACAACTGAGCTGTCCCTCTAGCCCCTGATTTTCAGATTTTTCAATGCTTTTCAGTTATTTCTGACAAATATAAGCAAGATGCCTTAACTTACAGATGGTTGTTTTGCAACCAAGTTTTGACTTTCTCAAAATTTCTAGCCATCCATTGTATATTGTCTTCAATGGTTTCGATAGCTTGCTGGACACAGCGAAGCTGTGCACTTTTTTCCTCCAGAGAACTGAAGAATTCTTTCACCTGTTGACAAAAATATGACAGAAGGTTGATGAAGAGGCAGCAATGTCTCGGGTGCACAGGAAGGCCAGCAAGACTGGAACCTGGCCTTGGGTCTTCTACCCCCTTTCCCTCACAGCCCCCACCCCAAGAACAGTGTTTTGAAAAGGCTTCATAGTGGCTGGATTTCACAAGGCACAGAAGATTATAGTTCAAATTACATGATAAAAAAAGACAGCTGAAAGAGCTGCCATGTCATGTGGGGGATCCGTCTGGTTCCTGCTCATCCAACAACCCCTTGCAAGCCGCGGCAGCCGCTGCAGCTGCAGGCAGGACAGCAGCGTTTCAGTGTGGACATCGCCAGGGAGAACGAGCCGCCCCGCTCTGCCCCACGGCTGCTCCACTTCGTAACACACCTTCACCTGGAGTTCGGCTAACATCCCAGACTGCCAGCTGAGCGGGTGTTCCTGCCTATACAGGCGACAGGGTGGGACAGGCACCAGACCTTGCACCTGTTGGTAGACTGACTTGGTGACAGTCCTCTACGTTTGCCTGTGAGCCACTCGTTCAGCCCATTCGGAGGAACAGCAGTGGTGTAAGTGTTGATGGTAAAATATAAAG